TGGAGACTATCCAGTTGGACAGAGATCAGAGTTGGATTTCGGTGATACGAGACTGTGGTACTTACCTGATTGGAGACTTGGAGATTGTTGAGGTTGATACTCGGCTGCATCACAGTTGGACACCGGTTACATCTGGACTCTGTTATCTCCGACATTGGTGACCTTTGGTCCTCGACATTGTGATGTTGTTATATGACATTCTGGACTACCATTTCGAAGACCTATCAGACTCTACCTTTGTGACCTATCGGTGTGATCTACCTCCCACCTCCTTCGTCTCTCCTCCCACCTTTCATCTGTGTATGTGTGTACGGGATCTGGGTATCGTCTATGAATGACCCAGACCCCACCATCTCATGATTGTATGTGTGTGGAGTGATCCCATGGAAGTTAGTTGGTGTAAGTCAGTCTATGTGAGTCAGTTCGTTATCAGACTTCCGCTGCATAAATGCTCATCCTATATTGGTTGATCTTTGGTTCTTCCCATACTCATTGAAGTATGTAACAACATCTCCTCCCTCCCTTGTCAGCTCTCTCTCTCTCTCTCTCTCTCCTCCTCCTCCTCCTCCTCCTTCTTCTTCTTCTTCTTCTTCTTCTTCTTCTTCTTATCCATCTTCTTCTTCTTCTTCTTCTTCTTCAGACTGGATACTTATACTAGTTGGACAGAGATCAGAGTTGGACTTCGGTGATATGAGACTGTGGTACTTACTTGATTGGAGACTTGGAGATTRTTGGGGTTGATACTCGGCTGCATCGCAGTTCGGACACCGGTTACATTTGGACTCTGTACCTCCGACATTGGTGACCTATTGTCCTCGACATTTTGATCTTGTTGGATGACATTTTGGACTACCATATCGGTGACCTATCAGATTCTATCTCGGTGACTTTCAGTGCTGTCTACCTGCCCCACCTCCTTCGTCTCTCCTCCCCCATTCATCTGTGTATGTTGTGTACGGGGCTGAGCACCTTCTTTGTATGGCTCAGACCCCACCATCTCACGATTGTATGTGTGTGGAGTGATGCTATGTGAGTCAGTCTATGCGAGTCAGTCTATGTGAGTTAGTCTATGTGAGCCAGTTCGTTTATCAGACTTCCGCTGCATACATGCTCATCCTATATTGGTTGATCTTTGGTTCTGCCCATACTCATCGAAGTATGCAACAGGTAACTAACTTCTCATCCTAGTCATCCTGAGTTCGGTTCATATAATGCCGAAGCAGGTGCTGCACAACCCAGTTCTTCTGCTCGGCTTGGCCGGGTGATTCCCCGATGTCATCTGCAGTTGGGTTCCCATCTGCTGAGTCGTACTTTGCCACAGTCCACTAGTGAATCTGACATCCTGGTCACTGACACTGGACTTAGGAAGACCAAAGTCACGCACCCAATTATCCATAAAGAGCTTTATTACATGGTCAGCGTGGGGTGAGTTTATATTTTGTATTATTCAACGACTTGCCGGGGGAATAGGAACCGGACTGTTGCTCCCCAGAATGGTAGGAGAGCCAGAACCAAGGGGTTCTGGAAAAAAAAAAAAAAAAAAAAAAAAAAAACATGGTCAGTCCTAGGGCTCGCAGGCATGGCGATCAGTCTACCGTACTTACCAAATCTGTCTACAATGACGAAGATGTGTTGTTTCCTGCTCTTGCTGGTCACGAGAGTATCCATAAAATCCATGGAAACCATTTGACCAGGGCCCGCGGGAATAGGCAAGGGCTTGATAACCAACTGCATTCTTGGTTTGTCATGATGACAAACCTGGCATGGCCCTACATATTTCTTTGCATCATCCATCATCGTGGGCCACCAGAAACGCTGTACTAGATTCACTGACAGACATTTTCTTGAACCCAAAATGACCGGTTGCATCGTGACACCCACCTTAGAATAAACTACGCAAAGACTCTCTAGATGGGACACATATCCGTTTATTCCCGACCTTATCGAGAAACAGCAAGTCGTCAATCAGCACAGACTCATCGGATGTGGCCTTATCCTTGGCCTCAAGTTTGTGGATGATCTCAAGCATGATGGGGTCCTCTCGACAGGCTTCCACCATGGATCAAGTCACATCGTCAGATACCCCGAACTCAGTCACTAGCGTTCCCAGATAGTCTGTCACAAACAGGATGGCTTTCCAGGCAGTATCTCCACTACCCTCGACTAGTCCGTGCCCGTGCTCACATGGCTCACTTGCACACCAGTTTGTAACAGTCCTTAGGCTGGACAGGTTGTTTACCGAGCACTTGCCACTAATGCTCATGCAGCTACTTAACACCATTTTTGTCATCGGCAAGCTGACCCAGAATGCTTAAACCACCAGTAGCTTTCCCTGCTTGAAAAACAAATACGTGGCGGTCAACACGGGGACTTCGGGAAGGGAACGCCCGGCCATGCCCAAAAGCGCAGGCAGACCGAGAACGAGACGGGAAAAAGAAAGTAAAAAAAAAAAAACAAAAAAAAACGGTCGTTTCCAAAAGCATGACGCAGGGCACAGCGCGCGGGGATGTGTGAGTGGGAGAGAGCGAGAGAGCATCCCGACGAGTTTCCCGTCGGGATGCTCTCTCTCTCTCTCTCTCTCTCTCTCTCTCTCTCGCGCGTGCGTGCGCGAGCTATCTCTCTCTCTCTCTCTCTCTCTCTCTCTCTCTCTCTCTCTCTCTCTCTCTCTCTCTCTCTCTCTCTCTCTCTCTCTCCGTGGCTGCCTCTCTCTTCCCGTGTTCTTCTTTTTCCTTTTTTTCTTTTTTCGAGTACAAATGGATGCCACTTCTTTAAACCACCAGTACACCCGGGCCTGGAGGGGCCTCACTGCGCGCCAGGGTTTTCCAAACCGCCTGAGGCGCACTTTCTTTTCTGGCTGCGCCGCCAGCCATCATGGTCCGGTAGGCCGAGCCTCCGCAAATTTTGTAGGCGACGAGTTGCATTTTCAGCAAGGTTGGGTTCGAGTACTGGTGATTTAAGATTGTGTGCCCCATGAATCACTTCAGTCTCTTTTTTTTTTTTTTTTTTTTTGGGGGGGGGTCCATTTCTTTCTTTAGCGTGGTCCTATGGACCATAACCTCAGCCCTGCACTACGTCCCGCTCCACTACTCACCAAATGTGCAAATTGAGATACAATCTTCCGCTAGAACATAGAAATATGCACCGGCGTACCGCCATATTTTTTGTCTTTTGTGCATGTGAAGAGTAGTGGAGCGAGGCCCTAATTTTGCACATTTGGTGAGTAGAGGACCTGTGGCATTCTCTGTTCCTCACGGGCCCTTCGCAGGGACCGGGCCGTAGGCCTAGGGGGTTAGCAGGGTTAGTAGGACCAGTACGCCGAGTAGTACCAGGCCTGGCACGTTGTTTCACTAGCACCAGGCCCCCGGTTAGAGGCC